CACTTTTTTTATATTGTCTTTGGATTGTCCAAAAAAGGGTCACCAAATTGCACCAAAAAGTAACTATGGAGGCCTGTAAGGACGGCTGTATTGAAATGATGATTTTTGAACAGTGACAATATTTCTTTTCAGATCATATTTTAAAGTATCTCTAGTAACAAAATATATTGAACAAACCCACCTACCCTTTTTAATCCATACTGTGGTTTTGTGTTTTTTTTCTTTCGCCCACCACAACATTATGTTTTGGCAAAACTTTTGGGGGCCTCAGGGCTAGAGGATGGCTAACACATTAAAAAATACGAGCTACAGTTATTTAGCAAGCTTGAGTTTCTAATAAAGTGGCCAGTAAGTTTAGAGGTAAGAATAAAAGATACTGCACTGATCTAGTCTGTACTGCAGTTTAAGTTGTTTGACCACCTCTTTCTTAAGGATTTTACCAGCAAAAATAATTTATAAATAAAGCAAAACAAAAGCCCACATATATTAAACACTGTCCATTTTAATAGCATTTCCATTAACCAAAATAGAGAACCGAAACGGTAACAAAATGGCGTGTGTTACATTAAAGCACATGTAGTCACGCACACTATACATAAAGCATTCAGACAGAAACACTGATGTATATTAGTAAACTACACTACAGAGGCACCAGAGAGTCCTAATCATGCCACAGTTACTGTATATAAAACCACTACACTGCATACACTCACTGCAACATGACAAACACATGATCATCTTTAATGATTGTGTGTGATCTCACTATTTTCATTTCATTGTATGATGTGATGTGTTTATTTGTGTGTAAGTGCTTTTTTTCCTGTATGTAAATGTGTGTACATTGTAGACTCATTTGGCTATAATCAGTCTGGAATCATCTTAAGATTAGCAAATGAAGCTGCTTCATGATCAGCAGTGGCTGGTTTTGCTTCATGTCTGTGAATAAACTATGTAACACATTTTAACTCAATTCAATGTGTTTGACATCAATTAAATCAAGGTATCTTTTTGGGAACTTCAATTAAGATGAAAGCAAAAAGAAATACTACTGCTGTGGATGCAGCCTTAGCTTTTACTGCACTGTGCGTAAACAACAGAGAGCTATTTGCGCTCAGAGAGATGGGAGATGTGAGGTAGCCCAGTGACCGCAGGTCAAGTGATAATGGACAGCTATCCCTCAGCTTTAAAGCTAATCTCCCTGTCTAATGACTACACTCACATGTCAGATATCAGGAAAAATATCAGTCATACACACTTATCAAAGAACACCGTTCATTACCATGGATGGTAAAATAAAAGGCAATATTTCATACACTTGTATGTAAAAGTTGGCCAAATGACATTCTGTTGATTTTTGACGTGAAAAGGAGTAAAAACAACCAGCAACTATTTTACTTCAAAAAACACACTATTTGCTAATGTTAATCCACAGTTACATTATATCTGATTCTTCTGAAATAGTAATTGTGGCGTGTATGGACGTCTGTCCAAGTATAAATTCTCAGAACGTAACAGACACGTTAGGGCTGGTTAGGCAGGTAATTCATTGTCATTAGGATATGTCAGCTGATGACAGTTCCAGAGCGTAATAAGTTCTCTGACTTTTCAAACCTTGTGCTAACTTTCAACACTCAATTATGAGCTTCTCTAAGCCGCTGGCTTACAGAGAAGGGAAGGCTAAAAAAGATATCATAGTGGAAATTAAAGCAAGACCTGGAAGACCAAGAAATCTCTCAGATAAAAGGGCCAAAGGACCTGCAGGACGATTTAGCTTACACAGGAGTGGTGGTGCACCGTTTCTACTGTGCAGAATCATTGCACAAACATGATCTGCATAGAATAGTCATCAAAAGTCATAAACTGTACCTGCAACCTCATCCTTGACCACAATCACTAATAATAGGTTTGGACAAAAAACAGCATTTAATTAAAAAACTGTTGGGGCGGATCTATTATGCTTTGAGTTTGTGCGGCTGCCAAACTGTAAAAAAATGACTTAACAATTAAACCTAAAAAAAATTATTTATGTGGTACCAAGTAAATTAAATAGTTCTATTCTACCTAAATAAATACTTTGAATGTAGGATTCTTTCAATCAAATTGACTTTCTGAGTTGAGTAAAACTAGTTGCATGTTACTACATTAAGTAATTTTTTTAGGTTGAACTGACGAGCCATTTTTGCAGCGCATCCAATCTTTAGTACAGCCACAATTACTATTTTATTTTTTCCTATTTTTAAACTTGATCAAATATTAAATTGGTGTGCATAAACATTTGCAGAAAAATGTTATTTTAAAAAAAAATTGCTTCCTGCAGAGGTTGTGTTCTTTTTTTTTTATTTCACTTAACTTTATCACTTGGGTGCCCAAACTTTTACATACAACTGCAAACAAATAAATAAATAAATAAATAAATAAATAAATAAATAAATAAATGTTATTCAATTTGACTACCTTAAAGGAATAATCCCATGGTTTTAAATCTAATTTCTATATGCCACACTTGTACATGACTGATTAACACATTTAGGACATGTTGACCTGGAACACTTTTATAACTGATGTCAATGGACAGGTGATGCAGCCCCTTCCTATGGGCTTCTTTGTAAGTGTATTTTGAGTGAGTGAGTTTCTTTGATTTTCTAAGTGCAGGAAAAATACAGTCTGTGCTAATCGACTGTATGCTACAGATGTGTAGCATAGAGATTAGATTAAAAAGCGTTGGACTGTTCCTTTAACAGAGGTTGAGTTCATTACTTAGTACATTAATTTACTGGGAGAGTTCCATGAACTTGTCAAAACTCTACACATTATGTACATCTCAACATATCTATTATGCTGTTATCAGTTATATAAGAAAGGAAACTTAGCTATGTATGTCTGAAGTTGCTGAATGCTTATATATATGAACAGATTGATACAGATGAGAGGAGAACCTCCAATCACAAAAACCATTCCTCATTTCTACTTTATGGCTTTTCATCGCACTTAATAACGTGCATGGAAGTGACAGAGGAAACCGACTGAGCACACTGACATTAGGCATTCTCGCATTACAAAGATAAAAATCTGTAGCATCACTGCTAAGTTTTACTTTTCTCTTAAACACAGAATTTGGTCCATTTAATTAGGAATTTGAAATAAACTCAGCTACTCATCACAGGCAAAATCATAATTCATGATCACAAATACTTTTTTATATTGCACAATACTAAACTTCAACAAAACAATAAGGCAAATATGACACCTAGAATCACAGGTAACTATAATCCTTTTGCTTCATTCTGTTAAAACATATAATACGTAAATGAACTGATGGCTTTCAGGCGTGACCCCTAGGTTACTATTACCTTTCTACTTTTTTCTTTAATTAATTAAATATTATAATTATTATTTTTCGCTGTTATTAATCTTTCATAATTCTTTCCTTGAATGTCACGTCACTGTCTGAGATTCCCAGCAAAGAAAATTAAACATATAAAATGCCCAAAAAACAAGAGAATAGTATTTACAATAAAAACAATGTCAAGTACATCTTCATTTATAAAGGGAAGATTCATTTGTAGTGGAAGACTGATCTGTTTTGGAAAAAAGCATTCCCGTACTCCCACTGTGGTATATTGCGTGATATAGGTACTATATCAGCCTGTCTGCATGATAAACTGCAATAATTAATCATAAATAATGGCTTTTTCCACGAACTGCAAATAAGTTTTCATACCAAGAAAGTGAAATACTAGTTTAGAGCTGTTTGCAACATTTAACACACTGTATACACTAAAGTACCATTTTGAAACAATTAGTTTTACATGAGGAGTTGGGTAATTTATTTATTAGCAGAATACCTTTTTGATTTTAGTCCTATGCAAGTCGGTTAGTAAATTTTTAAAAACATTTTACGGTTTAAATGAATCACAGAAATAGCTTATATTAATATATCTATCCATTACGAATGTACATGTTGGTGAATATTCCATCATATTCTGAGGAAAATTAGATTTTGTGGCTTTTCCTAAGAACGGAGGCACACGAAGAAGCATTTAATTTTATTCTCTGCAGCCCAAATCACACCAATACGTACTGACCTACATCAAATGTATGATACCCAATATTAAGATCCATAATACAACCGAACAACAGCTTGCTGGGTAGATGATTCATATGAAAAGATTAAATAATGTTAGTACATGTTTTGACTTGTGAGCAGAGGAAACAAAGCCTGGGCAGTATCTAAAAATAATTAGCACAAGATTTTCTAGTCGAAAGCCAACGATTATCTATTATATTACCTCCCCACCACCAACGAATACACAAGGTCTGCTGCAGGTTATACTTACTTTCTGTTCTATTTTTAGTTTGCATGCTTTTTTAAAGCATTAACTGCTTTAATGAAAAGTTTTATTAAACATCACATATTAGATAATACACTATCAAATAACCCAGCAACTTCTGAAAACTACTCCACTTGTAGTTCTGACAGTTGTTACTGCAAACGAGCATTCACGAGCTCCTTCTGGTGTAGGTTCATGGTGAGTTGCATGCTAACAGTGCATCTAAATGAGTGATTTCCAAAGCCATGTCCACATACTTTACAGATCAAAAATGAGGTATTGTCCTTGAGTATCTGTAGTATTTAGCTATAGATGCCCTAAGAAAAGAATGTAGTTTTATCTTTGTGAAAGACAGCAGCATGGAAAATCGTCATCAGGTTACTTCTCGATTATCAATGATATCCCATTACATCGCCCTATCGCCCAGGCCTAGTGGAAGCTATTACGTGTGAAGTATTTTTGGTGTGACAAATGTTAAGAGAGTAGATGCCCTCATCTCTGTAATTTGTACAGAGATCTCTTATCCTGTGCAGTCATAAACAGTACAGTAGTGATACTATCATTTCACAGACATATGTCTGAATTATACTCGATTACTAAGTATACTATTTTAACAGAAATTTGGCTTAAATTAATTGGAAAGGCAAGGAATGTGGATGTTTTCAATAATTATGGTTATGGTAAGTTAAATATTAGAATATTGTCTGAGGAATGAGTTTATATCCACTAACACAGGCTCTGATTGCTGGGTCTGCAGACTCATAAATCAAAGGGCTGGTTAAGGGGGTTCAGTTTAAAAATAGGTTAAAAAACAACTAACCATAATCCTAACAGTGACATAAACATTAGCCTACAGTACACAGTCATAAGGTCAGTCTGTTTCCTCTCCTTTAAGCTCCACCCCGAATCTACTGACCTTCAGAACATCATCATTCCAAAAGTGCTGGTCGCTGCGTGTGCACGTACGTGGATTAGTCGGAGAAGAGGCTGGCGAAGGACTGGCGGAGGCTGCGGATGGTCTCGGCTTTGGCCTCATCATCTGTGGGGTTGCTCCTCAGTGTCTCCGTGAAGGTGTTTGTGAGTGACTGTGATTTGCTGAAAGAAAGTGACAGTGAACTGAGCTTCAACATGGAAAGCAGCAGTGTCCATTCTTCTCTGCAAAGAGCCGATGTGGCTGCAGGGTTTTATTCCTCTTACATAAGTGCTCAGTTAAGGTAAGTGAATCAGGGGAACTCCACAGATTTCTCAGATTTTCTGTGGTCTGATGTGAAATGCTCCATTTTAGAAAAATGTAGCAAGTCAGAACTGTTCACAGTAGTGGTGATAGGAAACAGATGTCTAAAGCCTTTAAAAGCTCCCTCACAGAATATTATTACACAACAGGAATTTGGTTAGGAATATGCTGTTTGATGCCTGGAAGACTGTTCTATGATAATTTATACAATGAGATTTTGGCCTAAAACTTTGTTAGATTTTGTTTAGATTTCAGATTTTAGTTTTGGTTTTAACATTACATTTAAAACTAAGGCGACACGTGTAGGTTCACTGGTCATTTAGGATAGTAAATAAAATGCCTATATTTAAGTCGTAGACATCATGACTCCTGGTTCCTATCACCACCACTGTAAAGAAATCAGAGTCAGTGAGTTTCTCTACAATTATGAATTTTACATCAAACCAATGAATGAGTTAATATATGTCTCACCACCGAATTATACAGAAATTGAAAAATCAGTTGGACTCTTAAAGGTGCCATAGAATGGAAAACTGTATTTACACTGTCAAAGATGAATAAGAAGAGTTTAGTTCATGGAACCGATATATGTGAACCTCAAACACGGTTATCTTGCTTTTTTGCAAATGCAGGTTTTGTATTTGAAATGGCCACTTCCAAAATCCTAAACTGTTATGTAACATTCTTGATTCATTAATATTTACACCCCCAAATTTACACATACCAGCCCAGGCTCTCACCCAGCACGTACTGTGAAGAATGAAATGACAACAGAGCAACAGCAATAAAATGGCAGACTATGTGTATGAGATGTACTATTCCAGGCTGTGAAGGGGATGTCGGCACTTTTCATACCCTTCCCGAGGAGCTGAGCTGTAAACGGGAATGTCTGATGTTCATTTTTAAACGAAGCTGCAGTTGGCTTCCGGTTCGCCAGCTTCTTAATCGAATATTCTGTTCCACCTTAAATGTTATAGCTTGTCCAGCCAAAATGCAACTCGAGCACCATTTAGGTGGAATGGAAAATTTGCAAGACAAGCTGACGAATATAAAGCCATCTTCAGCTCCCACATCTTTAACAAGATCCTGGATAACTTTATTCAAAGCTGTTAGTTTGCTCTGCACATTTCTCAAACCTTGGACAATATCGTGCAGGCCTTGTTCAACGTCTGAACAAGATGGAGTCCAACTTTATTAGCAACACAACCCCAACAGCAACCTGTAAGCAGAAGCCATGCTTTGTGATTTTATCCACTTTTTGCCAGTTGAAGCCAAATCATCTTAAATTGAAAGTTTCATAGTGTGCTAACAACTTTAATTTACTTTGTGTTGCTGTGACGATCAAAAGCAAGTAGCTAGTATAGGTAACGTTAGCTACGAGCAGGCGCCAAGTAACTAACAAAGCTAAGTAAACAGCATGATGACCTAGCTTACTTACAGGGAGGTTCATTTTGTTTTCTTGCCTGTGTCTATTCTGACATGTTGCTTCTGTGTGAGCCATTGCGGTGCCTCGACAGCAAATCAGAGCAGAGCTCAACAAATTATTAAGGAGCTCACCAAAAAAGGGAAAAACTGGTTCTTTAATTTTAGGGTCAAATCAAAATAAAACCACATCTGGGCATTTTTCACCCTCAAGTTCATTTTTTCAGTTTTTAGAAAACAGAGAAACCTGGTCGTAGTTTCCACGTGTGCACATTACAATCCTTATTGCTTATATATGATTTTTTGCTCAGATTCAATCTGCCATGACGTTTCACATTTTTGGAATGTAAAAAAATGGAAAATGGAAAAAAAATCTATTCTGATCTGATCTTTCTAATCTGGTCTCCCTATGGTTGCAATGACAATGTATCGGATACATATCTGGTCCAGGAGCACATATTAAAATCCGATTTTACATTTTTTTCACCAAAAATTGGATTTGTACCATTTTAACCGTATCCTGTCAAAGTAAAGTGACTCACTTGAGCAGTGGTGCTTGTTTCTGAGAGGCTCCTGCAGAGCCGGAGGCTGGGATAGGGCCAGGCTGGAAGGCCTGACTGGGTGAGGTGGTAGCTGAGCGGGCTCGCTGCGGAGAACCATGAGCAGACTGAGATGGAGAACCAGAGGCTGAGCGAGGACCTCCTATAAGCCACAGATACACAAACACTTTAATACACATGCCTAACAACTTCACCACTATTAACCCCTTAAAATCTCAGGCTTATTAGATACTAAGGTTTATTATTCAGTAACTACAGGGACTTCAGTGCAAACTGGCTTAGCTATTCTTAGGTTACAGACGTAACGTGCCGGTGGGCCTGGCCATTTAAGGGGTTAACAAGCAAAACATCACGAGTTTAACAGTGATGCCGGGTCTGGGTGAAAAAAGGGAAAGAAAAACTAAAATCTCTCGTTTTAAGTCAAAATGAAACTGTCACTCACATCAGTAAATACTGCCTCATCATACTTTTGTACCTTAGATTCACCAAAAGAAAATGACTATTTCCCCCAAAGGAACTCTCTTTACAACATGCCCCCCCTTTCCCAGAATTCCATGTCAGTGAGCATTCACAGTTTCCAGGCAATACTGTTACCTGGAGGCCAGTCACACAGTACCGGGACAGCTGCTGACTCACCTTGAGCTCGCCTCGGCTGGGCTGTTTGTGGAGCGGGCTGTGTCTGTTTCAGATAAAAAGAGAAACCAGTTTAATGGTTCTATATGGAAGTGTTCAGGATGAATCACACTGTATATTATTTCTGTCACGTACAGTACTATGCAAAAGTAAGATCCTCCATTTATTTTATTTCCAGCTAAAACAGCTATTAAATTCAAGTTATTCATTTTTCAGTGTCAGTAAAAAACACAGAAAACATGTATTTAACAGAGAATTACACACAAGCCTCAGCAAATATATATGACAGTTTTTCGGTCTCCACCCTTTGCTTTTATCAGATTTGTTTTTTTTTCAAAGAAATCTGCAGGGATATTTTTCACACCTCTAAAGTTAGCAGTTGGTTGGATTTTCTGCTAACAGTAGAAGTTATCTGAATTACAAACTTAGACTCATCAATCCATAAAACCTTATTCAACATCATTGACACAGATGTCAGTTTTTGGTGTTCTAGTGCAAATTTTATTCTCCTTGACAAATCCTTTCAGACTCATAGCACTGAGTCCCTTCACAGTGGAAGGATAGACAGAAACATATTTTTACAGCTCTGAAGCAAGAATGAAGCTTGATTTTCTCCCCTCTCTCAAAGATGAAAGCTTTGAGTGCTGTTCGTCTGATGGTGACAGGTTTGGTGGTCTACTACGTCTTCCTCATTTGTTAGGAGTCCCATTTTCTCTACATCTTTTAATCATTTTTTAACTCCAACTTTACATTCACAAGTAAAAAATCTGAAGGGGAGCTAAACTGTGTTTGAATAGTTGTTTGTGTGAATGTTCATGTCTGTTTGAAGGAGAACACAATGTCAGTGACGGCTTTGTGAACAGCTTTTATTAGCGCAAGGGTTTCCAAACTGTGGCCAAATGACGTTGGGGGCACATAAAAACATCTGACAATTCATTTAATCTTCATGTAATTATCTGTCATTTAATAATCTTTCATTTCATTTAGCCGCCCGCTAATTACACAGATACTTCCCTGATACGGACAACATAAACAGCTCTGCCGCTCACCAACTGCTGAACAAGAGAACCTCTCTGAATCCTAAATAATTAAATACTACTAGATTTGATTTTATACTTGGTGTTGGGGGCTTTTGTGCAATTTTCTGTTAAACATATGTTTCCTGCTTTTTGCTGACACTGAACCATGAATAATTAAATAATTCAAGACTGTGGACTCTTGACATTTGCACAGTACTGTATAAGGTTTACACAATCTATAGAGAATGAGCCACTTATTACTCCTGTTTAATGAGGCAATGAGTTGGGAATTTGCTCGGGCACCTTAACAGAGGAGGGCTGTGGAGAGGTGATGCCAAGCAGGGCAAAGGCCATTTTACTGAGGACCAGATCAGTGATGAGCTGCCTGTCTTCCTCCACATGTTCTCCAATCAGAGGCATGGAGCTGTCCATCACCTGCAGATGAAACCTGGTTAGACTGCACTGGCTTTTTAGGAGACTTTAAAGGGGAATTCCACAGATTTTTTTTAAAGAAAGTTTTATATGTTTGTCAATGTTATAATAAAAATAAACATGCTCCAAGACCAAATTCATCACTGTGTTTATAAAATGTCTGAGGGAGCGATATTTAATTGGTTACTTATCAGCCACACTAGGTAGTTAGCCACACGCTGCTAATAAAGATGATGATCACATGGCAGTGAATGTGAACACATCACAATGGGTTCAAATTCAAAAACATGTTAGCATTAGCATTTGTAGTCAGCATTTTTGGCCAGAGAATCAAACTGCATGCAAATTTTAGTCTTGTATGCCAAAACAAAACTCCATAAATTTAGATTAGCATGTTATTTGAGGCAGTCAGTGAACTTTCAAAAGATATATATAATAACAGTATGTGTGTAATTAATTATAATGTTGGTAAAAACTTATCAAAACATAAAATGTTTCTACATGATATGAAAAAAAAAAACACTGAAACACTTGAGTGGGAATGGATGGGGCTACACTGCTGTAAACTGAATAGGTAGATATATGTAAATGATTTGGTTTTTCATGACATCACAAAAAACAATGATTTCAAAACAGGCTGTTCTGGCAGCTTGGTTTCCATATATGGACTGTACAGACCAGAGGGAAACTTCAACATTGTTTTTATTGCAAAAAAGGATGGAAGTAAAAAATTAGTTTTCAATGATATGCACTCTTCAAAGTCTGGAAAGTAGAAAGTAGAGGTTGCTGGCTGTGATACTGTAGTCTGTCTGAAAGGTTCTGCACCCACTCAATGCTGCACTAAGCCAAGAAAACAGTATACACTACCACTACGAATAAGGGTGCAGTATGTAGTGTTCTATTCACCAACATACACACAGACTCAAGTTCTAAACTGGCTCCTGTTTCAGAATGACTTGCCCCTAACTTTGGCATACTGGGACAGGAGATGAATGGCTGTAGTCTTTTCAGAGTTAGTACAAAAAGCAAATAAGTGGTTTAATCATTAAGGAAAGATTTTATCTACATAAAGACTGTAGTTACTGGACAAAATGGCCCAGGATCTGGAAAGATATGAATCAATCCTCTGTTCCTTTTCCATATAAACAACGGACAAATGTGAGTAGATGCTGAAGAGACGAAACACATGTAATGTTTTAATGGTTAACAGATTGACACAGTCATACAGTGTCAGAAACCACACAAGCTTAGAATGGTTAATCAAGTTACTGCAGTAACAGCTTCCAGTGATGGTAAACTCATTTACCACCAGTTTAAAAGTGCTTGCTTATTTATTTATTTATTTATTTATTTATTTCATGCAAACCATAGCAGGCAAGCAGTATTCACAGTGATTCGATAAAGTAACAAAATCGAGCTGCCTCCATTTTTTTGGTAGGCAACTTCAAGTTCATTCTTGAGCTCAGTTTCATTTTTATGAAACTACAAAGACACAACCAAACCAGCAAAGGCAGTAAAAGACATTTTTAAAGCATATTAACTAAGTATATTTGAGTGTTTTGCCTTGATTTTATTTGATTTGTTGCTGTAGTGATAACAAATGAAAGCTTACATCTTCTTTCCAAACAGCACCCTACCACACTAAATAGTATGTAAAAAACAGTGGAAAAAAACATTAGTGGAGTAGGTAAGGTACAGAAGTATGTAGTTTGGGACGCAGCGTTAGATGACCCAGTGAGATGTCTTCAACAAGTTATCAGCTCAAGTAGTTGCTTTTAGATTTGCAGTGCCACTCGTTAGCTGCTCATTAAACATTTCCAAAAGTTGAAGGCATTTCCTGATTAAGTTTGCATTTATTGTAGTAAACTGGATATCCACAAATTATTCTGTGAAATGATGTTCACCGGCTTCTTTTTTAAAATTCATTGTACATATGAGGCACCTGAATGTAACTGCTGCACCGAATAAGAAGCCGACTCCAGCTTTATTGTGTGCATTTTTGAATAGCTTTCACAGTTTTGTTAGCTTGGTTATTTTCCACATGGTTACTCAAATAAGATGACTCTGTTACTGGCACAGGTCTACATAACACTGCCATAACCATGCCATAAACATTTCAATGCTGTCATGACAGACTTTGTTCAGTTTTATTCTGGCAATTGTTGTGACAGGTGCAATAATGTTTGACGTCATGACGGTTAATTAGAATACACAAAGGAAAAATTTGCTTGTGACATAAGTTGTCATGATATCAAACATTATGCCAATCATCAAGATAATTACTGGTAATAGTAACATGACTGAACAAGATCTGTCATGATAGCACACGCTTTCTTTTATGACATGTTTATGGGATGATTATGTCAATGTTATGTAACAAGCCCAAGCTTCCATTACTTGTCAGCTACATTAGCCTCATAGCTCTAGTGGTAAACTAAAGAGGTAAACCTCCGAACATGTTTTGCCTGAGTGGCTACATTTGGGGTAATTTTTTGATTGCTTCAAGAGGGACCAGAGACTGCAGTACAAGTAGGTGTCCACTCAGTGACAGTGTTGTGCATGTTATTTGTGCTTCTCGTTGTGTTTCATCCACACTGGATGAACTTAATACGCCCGAAGTGCTGAGGTGACTCTGTAACACCATTTATAACATTAATGTGACAAACAAACCTTGAGAAACTCTTGCTGTAAAGCCCTCAAGGCCATATTAGAGAACTGACACTAATGCTGATGACTTTAACTAGCCTGTCTCCTGCTCTTCATTGGCGTATAAAAGAAAACCAGGGGAGAGAACCTTGGAGTTGTTTGGGTGTTTTGAGGGAATGTCATGACGAGGACGCTGCAACGCTGAATGTTACGGTCGGAAAGTCTTAAATCAGAAGGGCTCGTCAACAAGAGGCTGGCTGTAAAGTGTGTGCCACAACGGTATGAATCATGCGCGTGTCTGGGGCTGAGGTTTGGAGGCGCTGCATTGGGCCACTAGAGACGTGTTCAAACTGGGAAAAAGCTGCGCCACTTGACATGGGCACCAAAACAAATGAGGAGAGAGAAGGGGCGAAGAGGGAGACACGGGTGGTGGAAAGAATGAGAGCGAGTAAGAGAAGAGAGAGTGACCACAACCTAGCCATAGAGAGGAGCTGACAGAGAAAAATCTGGCTGCCCAGCCAAGAAAGGTCACGTGGTCACTGTGAGACGAGAAAGATGCATTTTCTGCTTTACTGTCAAAGGTTCAAGCATATCCAAGGCATGTACTTCATTGCATTCAAAGAAAGCATCTCTACATTTGATAAACCCTGTGAAAGAGAGAAACTGTTTACAAGGGAAACTGGGTCAGGACATTGTAAACATTGCAGAAAGTAACAGCACTAGTTTTAAATATATGAAGTTAAAGTACATAGTCTTGTAAGAGTGCATGTGTGTGGATACCTATGCGTGTATACTGACATCTTTGCAATGTCGTTATTTGAAGGGTGATGCAAATGACCTTTTGACACCCCTTCCTTCTCTGCTCTCCTATAGGGTTCTGCTTTAAAAGCCATGACATAACCAGGGACAGGTCAACAGTGGAAAGAGGCCCAGATGTACGTGACTTGAGGAAGCCACAAAGTATGCTTGCATCGTGCCTTTTCTAGCTAATCACACAAACTGCACATGGGACTGTACGTCATCTGTGACAGTGCAAATATTTTCATTCTGTTGAAAGAGTGCCCTTATCTAGATGCTGCCATTGTTAAAAGACATCTCCTAGCAACAAGGTTTTGAGACAATTTCAGAAGGTGGGGAAAATTTAATGCAAAACTGCCTGTGGCAAGTTGCCAAAACATGAATGGAAATTGAATGGACATAAGCAATGTCATCATCCACACTTCCAATATCTGCATCCATGTTTTGCGTGATCTTCCCTTAAACGTATATTTATGTAGCGCAGTTGTTTATAAACCAGTCCTCAGGGACGCCAATCAAGATTTTTGCTCCAACCTAACTTGCAACACATAGGTACAGAGCAGAAATGTAGACTCTCTAGGGGGCCCTGAGGACCAATCTGAAAACCACTGAAGTAGAGAAGCGCATTTAACATTTTTCCATATAGATGGCACATTAAATGAGGTCAGACTCAATCGCCAGTTTCGTACATAGCACATGTGCAAAACGTGTCCGGTTTGTGCCTGAAACCTTTATGAGTACTTGAATATCAAAATTAGTGGACATGCACATCCCTAGCTAACACAAGTCTCCAATAATATGATACAAAGTAGCTAGCTAGCTAACTTGTTAGCTTAGCTGGAAGAACAAACTCGCCTTTGCAAGTTAGCTAACATTACCTAATGAAAATGTGGTAGCTGTGCCTGTGGTTTCAATACTACCTCAAAACCTTTTTCAGAGACAAGCCTGTGAGAAGAGGCTTGTGAGTCTTTTCTATACTCACAGGCAGTGAAAAAGACTGTATTGTAGTGAAAAGTCTCTGTAGTCTCACTGATGTCGTTACTATGGTCATGCCAGTAAAGCTTCTTTGAGTTGTGTTGAATTGGGTATATTAGGCCCTGTTCCATCACTGTGCATGTGCAGTGGAAGGCTCATGTGCCTGGGCCAGCCGCTCACATGTGTGTGGTTCTGCGGTGTAAACATGGCTCAGGGATGGGAAAAGAGCCAGAAGGAGCCGAGAGCACGAGGGGGACAGAAGGGAGGGAGAGATGGGAGGAGAAGAGGCAGCAACACAGAGGCTGTCCTGACTGGCCTTTCAGGAGGGAGTTACAGCTTGTTACTCAAAACAACCACAGTTACCCAGCAGCCCCTGAGGCCTGGAAGCCACAGCCCACGCCCCTCACTTCAAACACCAGTGGTTTCCAAGCCTGGTGCCTGGGCACACCCCCTGCATGTAATTTACCGCCTCAGAGTGATTCAGCAGATGACAACGTTAGATCATTCTGTTGGATGGTGGACGCGAGGTGGTCAGGGCTGTTTTCTTTTAGACCGCTGAGCGCAATGTTCTTTTTGCCGTCTCG